TTTATGATCTGCACATCACTGCATTCTGTTTTCATTTATTTTGCACAGCGTCCCAACTTTTCTGGAAATGGGATAGTAATATCAATGTAAAATGTGACAGTTGTGCCTGCATTCAAGGTTTAGTAAGTGTATTATACTAAACTTTACAACAAAACACGAGTGCCTTAACGTGAGCGCATTGCCAAAGATGCATTGTTAAAGATATGATTAAGAAGTCAACAGCACTGTAGCTGCAATTAGGCTAAATACTCTAGCTGCCTTACCTAGAACTGAAAACTGAAGATATTTTTTTTGTTTTCAGTGTTACCTTGACAAACTAAAATGCTAGCTAGTCCTGCACCAAAGAAAAAAAAACCTCACGTAGAAGCCCATGAGTCACCACATACCGCTAGACGGCTAACGCTATAGCTATTCTTTAAATTTGCTATAAATGGATATACAGCATTCATACTGACATTTTAAAATGCATCCACTTAATTCTTTTAGCATGCTAGCACCAGTGCACCAATTTCCTGCATTTGTGTATTATGATATCTCATCAGGCAAACAGCTGTTTTTTCCTTTCTTGTAGTTAACCAAATATTCGTTCATTAACTCTCATGTTTACATAAATATCAAAATTAGTCAGAATGCCCGTTCCTTGAATCATTTGTTGTATATACACACACACACAATGGATAATATCACCACACTGATTTTTCCTTCTGAATTGTATTGTGATTTTGAAATGAACAAAGGGGACATGCTGAGTGCTTAAATGGAAAGACTGAATGTCCCCCCAGGTCATAACTCTATGGCATTCCCTGTGTGCAGAAGTGTGGGTGTGTGTACACCCGCACATGTGCACATGGCCCTAGGTCAGTGTGTTGTCAGCTGCGTAGTTTGCTGCAGGATGTGTGTGAGTGATGTTTCCAGAGGCCAAGGCAGCGGTGCCTACAAACTCTTCGCTCAGGCCCAGAGGAATCACACAGGCCATGTTGGTCACAGTCAGAGACTCTGGCCATACCGAAGAGACAGACGCATGATTGCTCAGTAATCCAACCAGAGGGCATGTTAAATGTTTAGTGTACAGGGGCCTATACCTAGTGGGAGCTCTACTTCTGCTGACTGCTGCTGTGTTCAAAAAAACAGCACTGGGAAATACTGATAATATTCAATATCATGATACAGTCAGTTCCATAAATATTTGAATGTTGACAAACGTACTGCTATTTTAGCTGTCTACCACAGTTCCTTTTCATTTTTCAGCCTAATGATGGCTCGTTTCACTGGCAGTGACAGCTTTTTGGACATATTGAGAGTTAACAGCAAACTATTCCAAATATAAATGCCACACTTGAAACACTAGACCTGTTTATTTGTAAGTGAAATAATGAGGGCACGCACCACAAACATGGCCTGTTCTGTGGCTGCAAACCCAGGACATTGAAGACAAGACCAAAAATGATGCCAAGAAGAAAATTTCATCATTCAATTGAAAATATGACAGCTACATAAAATACAGATCACCCTTAGGGATGCCAATGCCCCAAATCCACTTTGTGTGGTATGTAAAGAAAAGCCTCTGAATTAAGCTGTGCAGCTGTCCAATTAGATATAATATATCCTGGCAAAATCAAAGCACAGGCTAATTATGTAACCCCAGTAGCCCCCACATCCTCCCCCACCCCCGCACCCCACCTAGGCCTGGGCTGACAATTGATATTTGTGCTTTCGTTCTCTTTCACATGCAACGTGATTTTTTTAATATTGCTTTGTTTTATTCAACTATGTATTTTTATATGATTATTCAAATCTATAGTCAGTTAAAATATATACAATAGAGAAAACTGCTTAATTATAGGCTCTACAAAAAGAACATCAAGTAACTAACATGCTTAAATCGCATAATCAAAAGATTATAACACCGATTTTCAGTCTGGCAAAGAAAGCTGGGGAATATGCAAATGAAACAAAGAAACTCCAGTAAACGATATTTGCTCTCCAGTAGAAAGTAAAATGGACAAGCTTGTCCAGAAGAAGGGTGCCTATTTGCCAGTTTGGCATTTTTTTGGTTTCCAACCAAACTAAAGTCACTGGATGTTAAAGTATTGCATGCTGTCTGTGCAGAATATAGTTATCATTATAAATTATTAGAAGCTAGTCTAGATGGTAATTAGAATTATATTAATATCAGGGAAAATGTACGCTATGCTCACAGGTAGTACTGAATTGGATCACGGTGATCTTGTTTATCACAGCAATTCTACAGAAGATAAAGGTTGCCTAAATTTACATTACTGTCCAAGCTAACCCCCACCAATCTGTCAAAAACTGTGGGCAACGGTTTGGTTACTGTCAATGAAGTTTGGAAGCCATCCTGCTATCATAGTTTCAGATGATATTTAAGTTTACATTAAAAAAGTTAGTGAGCCCATGATTCTTATAGTATTGGTACTCTATGCTAGAAGAATGTAACCTGACAGTTTGTTTTGTCCTGTTTTCTCCTATAAAACTGACACTAAAGCCATGGCAACAGGGACACCGCTATGTCATGGAATCAAATGCTGGCAATAATATAATGCTTGTTATGTTCCACAGGGTGGCTACATGAATTCAGTGATTTTAATAGCCATTTAAAATAATACAATTTCCACTACAAAACAGTATACAAAAATTAAAATAGGCCTATTTTATTCAAACTGATTGGTTAAAAAAGAACAGATATATGCTTTGAGATTGCATGATCTTTTCAGTGAGTGTCAGTTTTGCCATTATCAGTGGTCAGCTTCTGATCACACAACGGCTGAACAGTTTTGGCTAGCAGACTGTTCTGAATCAGTTTAATATATAAAATCACCTGTTTGCTGGGAATCTTCTTAGAAATTTAATTAGGAATATCGCGATTCACCACCAATTCGATCCTTTAATATGGAGTACCAGCTGATACTGTGTCTAATCCAGTCTACTGTTTTCACAGATGTACAATTCAGGTAAGATATGTGAGGCTGCCAATTAATTCTACAGTAAACTTTCTTCATTTTACTATGTGCATAATGTGACACTTTGGACAAATATGTTTTCATACTTGCTTACTTTTTCAACACTTTACAAGGTGTTTATTTACTTATGATCCAGTTAATATTCTGCATCGTTTTTTATGGACTACGTACGTGAAATAACAAATTTATAGTTTACAAAACGTGTATAAAGCGTTCACAAGTTACACATACCATGGGCATTAATTCCAAATAATCAATTCATAGGTTTGTGAATACATTCATGTACAGTAGCCTGTTCTTATCTCTAAGTTTTGAACGTGTTTCTGCAAATGCCAGTTTAACAACAGAAGCACTGCGCGAAACTGGTAAAGTAAAACTTTTCTGTGATCATTTCATTTTTTAATTGGTCTCGCAGGAAAAAAAGGAATGGGAGCAGTATTTTCTACATGGTTTTGGTGACATGACCCTCGCTACAAGCAACAGAAAACATACATATAAAATAACTGCTTGCTCACATTTTACATGCCTACATTTAGCCAAATGGTGGCTAGTTTAAACACAGCAGAAACACAAAGAAGTTTTAATTTTTGACCTTAAAGCAGCTCCAGACTTTAGACATTTAGAGCCCCTTGTTACCTTCTGAAAATGTGCCTCACCACTACAGGTTGTCGGCATCAGTTTATGGTGCATCTACGACAGTTAAGTAAATAGAGTGTAAAATCGAAACAAAAGATCTGAACTGGATCAGGCTTATTTTAACCAACACCTGATCCATTAAAGGGCTCATATTGTACATTTCTTGCACTGTATCTTTTCTCCTGACATCACTAACTAAAAGGGTTTTGTTGCAAAAATCACTATAGACCACTTTTGTCATGATATACAGTGTTGGGACTAAGCTTTCCATATACAAAAAATATAGAAAGAAAAAAATGCTACATTATAATACCACCTTAGAGAAATAAAAAGGTGTCTTCTATTATATGTCTGTTACTCTATTCATAAAAACATGTTCTATCCAAAATTGTTCCAAAAATGGACAGCATTTTGCAATGAAATTCTCTTACTGTGTCTTTAAGACTGATATATGTAAATGAGCTCTGTTGTATGTTGTGTATTATGACTCATTCAAAAAGAAGACTGGGCTAAAACACTCCTTATAACTTCACTGTGAATGATGTGGTGCGTGTAACCTGCTAGAGGTTGAATAGGTGGACATGTGTAAATGCACTGACTGTCATGACATCACAAACACATTTGACGTATGAACTGACTAATGGTCAATACCTTTTAAAACTTCTGAACAGTGTGTACATACCCACATCCCTAAATTTAATTCCACTATGATTAAAAAAAAAGAAATTACATGTTATGAACTTCAATGTTCCAAATCTGTTTCAAGACTTTTTTAGGATGTGTGGGAGCCCTGGTATCAATTTAAGGAAAATCAATATCATTGTGTGACACTAACACCAGTACACCAGTACAGACAATATATCTACAAGCACTATTAGATGTGTCTCTGTGTGTGGGTGAAAAAGAGAGATGGTGGAATTCAAAGTAAGTGTTCATTATGCCTACTAATCCCTCAATCTAGCCAAATTACAGGCTTCTGTTCCATGTAACTGCTAAAAGACTAGCACTACACACCCACACACAGATCAGAGATTCAGCAGAATAAAGCCACTCAAACCCACTGATTTCCGAATGTCTCTCTCTCTCCCGCTCCCTTTCTTTCTCCACACGCTTCCAAAAAACTGCCATCTAAAATTCAGCTTTGACGTTAACACTCTAAGGGTCACCAGCCATCTTTTTCCTCCAGATGTATTAAACACACACACACACACACACACACACACACACAAAGCTGCCAATTCACTTCTGGGCACGGAAACAAAAGCATGTCACATCCCTGTAGTACTGGTACACATTTGAATATATTCTAATAGCATCCATTTTTAATGGAGAGAAAATTCAAAGGGCTTTTCTGAGGACATGCACCCACACACACACACACACCTCTCTCACTGGCGTCATCCACCAGCACCACTTCTTCCAGCAGGTGTCGTGGGGATCTGTTGATGACACTGTGGACGGTGCGCAGTAGCGTAGTCCACGCTTCGTTATGGAACACAATCACCACGCTCGTCCGGGGAAGATCGTCTGGATACACTTTTGTCTTACACCTACAGAGAGATGGAGAGCAGAACCAGTTAGAAATGTAAAGAACTTCAAATTCTACACTTAATGTATTTGTCATGTTCAATGAAAACAGGCAAATTCAAATATAGTGTTCAGGCCAGTTAGTCAAACAGATAGCTCCCAAACATACCACAGACCACACCATTGCTGACTATAAATAAAGGAAAACAAAATCTATTTTGGGAATATTTGTACACATCCAACAACCCTCTAGCACCTCTGAATAAACAGATACGTCCACTTTGAATAATAACAGGTAAATAGGCATTTTTTCTTCTCTCTATGGTCTGCTTCAGATGGCAAACTTAAATGTAAAATAATGTATGTTTTTAGACAACCTTGCACTTCCAGACTAATAACCACTGCAGTAATGTTATCCTTGAAAAATGATGTATTTAAAATTTGAATATATATTTGACAAACTAGTGAATTCAAATTTAACTTATGAGCACAGCTGACAACCAGAGCAGGCACAATCAGGAATAAATGCTAACCAATCGAAGCAAAGAGAGTGACGTAATTAACAGTATTTGTTTGCGTAAGCCAAAAAAATACTGTCAACCAGAAAAGAAGCCAGTCAATTCAATTCAGCTTTATTTGTTTTTACATTTTACAAAGACTATGGGCCATGATGTATGTATGAGCACAGGCTCAGTCCAAAATGTGCCATGATTCGTCTGGAATATGCGCTCACAATGAGTCTGAAATTAACGTTTGATTTACTATGGCTCAGCAGAGGACCACAAACTGCATACAGGAACACCTGACTGCATGGAGTTTAAAACATACAGTGACATAGCGGAGTTTTAGACAAAAGAGATAATGAAAGTACAGTAAATTGTCACTGTCTTCTCACATACATACATCTGATCTTAAGAACTGAAACAATGTTTTTGTGATGGTAAATATTCTTACAGTATGTTTTTGAGGCTCTGTGTATTCAGTGTATCTGTTGCCATTGTTAGAAGAAGGCACTTAACAACACACCTTTGAGACACTAACACAAATTTACAGTTGGTTTTAAAAGGCGGAGAAAAATCAACGCATAAGGGTGCTTTCAGATGATAAGCATCATAACCACTTTGCGCTGACGATGCTATTGTTTGCCTATGGAGAGGGCTGCTTTATGTTGATGCTATGCAACCTTGAGCGTTGTGGACCACTCGGATCTGCCACCTTGCCACTACACTCAAAATACAATTTTGATTCAGTTTGTTGTCGACTTATGAAAGCGCAGCCATTGAGACAATGTGTTGCATATGTGACGTATGATCACTGTCTTTTTCCTGGGGACCACTGTCTTTTTCCTTTTTTGTTCTATAATTTATATATATTGTTTTGCAAAACAGCATGTGAATACACTGTGTCAAGCCAGATAGTTTTCAAACATGCACTGAACAGCCATGTGCATGTGCTGATGACGCAACACCACTAAAACTAAGCAGTGAGCAAAGTGGCAATGTGAGCCCAGAGTCACGATCAATCCAGAAGAATACATAATCAGCCGCACTACCAATATCTTCATTCCCTTTAGCATACTCCTGCCACATTCAGCGTGACCCACCTTCAAGTGCATTTGCATGAGGCACAGAATTGCATTCTGCATTCTGCACATTCCCTATAAACTGCACATTCAGGTTTGTGTGCCAGTTTCGTACATAACAGGCGGGTAGAATGCGTCTGATCTGCACCTGAAACTGGTGCAAAACACTTCACATTGAGCCCATTGTCCTTCCAGAAATCCAGGTCGAGACCCCTAATGATCAAGCCGAGGGGCAACAGAGGCAGGAAAAACTCCCTGAGAGCATGAGGAAGAAACACTGAAAGGAACCAAAACCTGAAAAGGGGGAACCATCCTCCTCTGGGCTGCACTGGATAGTAATATAGGGATACAAGTAGTGCTACACAATGTTGTAAGTTCAGTGCTTTCCAATACACAATGGTAAACAATTCAATACTTTAATTTTCAATTCTTTATTTAAATAAACTAATACCATGCTGACGCTGTATTCTGCCTAGGAAAATCAAACTGTTCATGCTAATTTGACTTCCATCAGCATATCTAAAACTTGCAGAGTTTTATTCAGTAATATCTATTCTCCTATTTATTCTGTGCTGCTAAAAACAATTAACACAGGGTATAGCCCATTAGTGTGTTGTTTTAAACACAGTGTGATGAATTCTAGATTGTACATCCTTGCCATGTTTCAATTATTTTGTTTCTTTTTTTGATCAATTTCACATGTGAAGAGTTTTGCATTAGGAAATTAGAAATTTGAAAACTGAAGCATAACCAGTAATAATTTTAATATTTCAATCCAGTTCCCATTTGAACAATTAAATATTTTTTTTCCAGGATCATTTGAGATCAAGGTAGATACCAGAGATACTCGTGGTTTTAATCCAGTGCAAATCTGCAAAGTCCCCAGCTTTTACAAGTAATAATTCTGGTGCAAATTACCTTCTAGAATTCATCAGACCTGGAGCTCCTTCGGTAAGAGTCGTCCTGTTTGAATTTACCTCAGGGTAAAGTAATAACTAAGCGTGCTAATAGACAACAGCACCTCAGTTTTTTGGTGACCAGGAGACAAAGCTAATCACTAAAATGGAGCGTGACTTGGCACAGTTTCTTTATCCTCAAAGACAGAACAACTGTAATGTACAATATTTTTGCAGATGGCCTAATTAAAAGCAGAATAAAAATGTAATATCTTGAGAGTACCTCTCACAAGGCGGTGCGATTTTTGTCCTGTTGGGCATTTATGAAGCAGAATGAGCTCACTTTAAGGCCCTAATGTTATTCTATCTGATATTATCTGGGAGTTAGATTTTGTTGTTTGGACCCATTCAATTTAAATCCTAAGACTGACGTGAATGTCCTGCCTATGATATTTTAAATCGACACAGATAATTTATCCCATACAAATCAGTCAGTCAAATCATTTAAAAATGACCAAACCTTAGATTTAACAGATTTCAGACATTGTTTCGGAGCACACTGGGTGGAATTGAAGATATAACGACAAACAAAATCTAAAAACATGCTTAACTAGTGCAAATATTACATTTCGAACAACATGAATGGAATCTAATGAAGCAGCAACATTACTGCCATTAAACTGAAAAAGATGAAAGTCATCATCTAAACACTACTTGATCAGATCTTCACTAATTGGGCATAAAAAGACTCAGAGGACTCAAATTCCAGTTTAGAAGCAGTCGAATATCACATCAGTAGATATAGAAAGAGCCTAACATGCATAACAATGTCCAGAGCCAGAGTGAGACTTGTTTGTTTTCAGGACACCCTAAACTCTACACACATTTTCTGCACATTTCCACCTTCTTCATTTCTTACTCTTATTTATTATTTACACTGACTGGCCACTTCATTAAAACCACCTCTGTATTTCTACACTTATTGCCTGTTTTATCAGTTCCACTTACCATAAAGGTGCACTCTGTAGTACAATTTACAATTACAGACTCTATCTGTTTCTCTGCTTACTTTATTAGCCCCCTTTCACACCGCTCTTCAATGGTTAAGACCCCCACAGGACCATCACAGAACAGGTATTATTTGGGTGGTAGATCATTCTCAGCACTGCAGCAACACTGACGTAGTGGTGGTGTGTTAGTATGTGTTGTGCTTTAAAGTGCATCTATATGGTAAGTGGAGCCCACCAGGAATTCGCTGACTCTACTGATTACCCACTCCAGCATTGCCAATATCAGACACCTTGAACAGAGACAGAGACAGAGTTCTAGAATTTTAAATGCTCAAACACACACTCATGCGCACACACACACAAACAAAGACATGCAAGTACAATTACAGGACAGTATCTATAGAACACATGTGCCTGTTATTCCCAGTGGACTTTCTCAATTGTCAGTGTCCTTTTCGGTCAGGCAGTGACTGGTGGGTTTAATGATGGAAGGGGTGCTGGGAGGTGGGGTTTTTGAGGTTTTCTTGTTGTTTCATAACAATCAGGGGATTATGTAAGTGCAGTATTCTGTGCCAGTGTGTGTGTGTGTCGGTAGGGACAGGAAAGTCAGTGTTTGTTGGACCTGGAGTGCTAAAATGGGACACACGCTCCTACTTCCTGCCTCACTTCCTGTTTGCCCTGACGCAGCTGACTGGATTGACGTTGGCTTACAATCAACCCAAAAACACAGCTCCTAAACGGCAGTGCTCTACAATAAAGGGTAGTAAATACACACATAAATGCATGTGACCAACAACTACAGAAACACTACAGGACATCTCTTTCTGCAATAGACCCAGGGCTCAACACGAACTTTTCCCCAACTTGCCCAGCCAGCGAAGGGGACTGAAAATCTACTTTCCTGAATAACTTATATTGTCCTAAATAAAGTTTTGCTTTTAAAAACATTTTTCAAACATAAATAAGCGCACTTATGCACTTGAAGACAATTAATATAAAAGTCCCAGATTAATATTCTACTTTCCTGGGCATTCAGGCATTCGGACAACTGTTAGTGTTAAACCTTGCACAGACTACAAACTCTGTTAAAACTCTCAACCCTTACTGACATTTGGCATCAACGTAAGCTGCTGATCTGCAACTTCCAGTGCTGCTCTGCTTCTCTAAACGCCACAGCATGTCACTCAGCAGTTTCCTATTACTACATTAAATTAAACCCAGAACGAGACCACAGGAATCAATGGTAGGTGACATGTAGATTGAAATTTAAAGGCAGTAAACAGTCAAATGTTAACTGTCTGTTACCTCAGCTAACATTACTAGCCTAGGCACATCGTAACTTCACCCTGTACCTTTGACAGGAAATTTGTCAAGTGTTAGCCACTATCAACCATGATAACTTTACTATATTTAATTTGACTCCATTAAAATCTAGTCGTATAGAAAAGTTTGGGCACCCCTGGTCAAACCATATGTTCCGTTGATTTTCTAAGTGAAAATTAGATATACATCCTCTACAGAGAAGACACATCTGC